GAAACCTTCTAGGTGCTACACGAGGGTCGGGTAGGGCGGGATGAAAAAACCAGACAAAGTCGGGTTAGCAGAAAAAAACAGAAATTAACTTGTCTGGAACAAACTCCATCCCCTTAAATATGCTTTCATCAAGATACCACATCATTACGTAACCACTACGCCAAGCCCAACGATTACAAATTGAAATACTACATCACTTCGTCATTACATTTTGCATAATCCAAACTAATCATGCAATCAATCATGCAATCAATCATAACCCAAATCTTCAATCAATTTACACTCCGTGATCGATTCGTGACAAAAGGCTGCTCCGATACTTTCGTATCGGGCAGCTTCAAATTATGTTAATGCGGGCAGATATTAAGTTAATGCTGCCAGATGATATGCTAATGCCGGCTAGATAGTTTTATTTTGGGATCATATTAAAAATCCCGCCGCGCGTCACGCGCGTGATCCCGCGCGGGATTACGCGCGGATCCCGCGCGTGCCCATCTCTAGTTACAATATATATAAAGGAAATAATAAAAAGAAATTTTCAGTCATTGCTTTAAAAATTTTGTATAATTATAATATAAATCAATTTCATAAATTATTTTATTGACAGTTGATAAAACTTGGGTGATAGGATTGTCTGATAAATGGTTAGTGTTGGGTAGAGATGGGCAAATCGCGGTTTTTTCAAAAATCCCGCGCGGGATTGGTTCTTCGTGGTTTATCCTCGATTTTGATTGGACAACGGCTGTGATCGACAAAATTCTGGCCCGCATTATACAAAATTTTGGCCGGGATTTAATTTTTTAATTGCAAAGGTGGAAATTGTTAAGGTTTGGGCCTGTGCAATAGTAAACTTAGCCCAGGAAGAGATTTCATTTAATGGCGGTCATGATTTATTAGTAATTATTCGAATAATTTTTGATTGTAACCATTGGTAGGGTTTGAAAATTACTGTAATTTTATGTAATTTTACGTAAGTTGTGTAAGTTTCTGAAATCAAAATTACATGTAATTTTGATTATGTGAATAATTTGGGCTAAAATTTTTGTAAAGCCAACATAAAAAAATTAATATAATTAAAGTTCCGAACACAATAATGGATATCTATTAATGACGGTAAAACTTTTTGTAATGCTAGTGCAATTATCATGTGACAATGCGTTATATATTGTAAAGTTACATTACAGTTTCGTAAGTTTCATGTAATGAAAAATGTAATATTGTGTAATACAACCCTAACCATTGGAACAGCAGAGACAGTGACCGATTCCCTCTCTCTTGTGATAAATCATAAATTAAATTATTTATATTGGATTCAATTGTGATGGATATAATCCCTCACCAGTTTTAATATATGTGTAACATTAACGGTCTCTGCTGTTAACCATTGTCAATCAAAATATAAATTTTCACGTATTTTTTGTGTGGCAAGGTTTAATTGTGGGATTCATGAGAAGTTCGTTTGATTGGCTAATTTTTATTAATTTACCTGTGATCACCCATGATAATTAACTAATCAAATTATGTTTTACTACCATACAGATATATTAAGAAATGAAAAAACTTCATATAAAGTAGCTTATAAATATAAAAGAATCAAGTAATTTATAAATATAAAGAATAGATAGATATATAAAATAAGATAAGAGCAGCATTTATTATTAATAAACTCAGAACCTATTAATGCAATAAACAATCTATAAATTGAAACTTATTATGATTGATAATTCAAACACAGTATAAAGATCAAATATTCTCAAGTACTAAACTAGGATCTTCTTTTATTATAAGCTTATTTTTGTTTAAACTAACTAATAGTTAGTAATAGAAGTTAATATAATAAAGCAATTATGAATAAAACTTTTTAGTTACCTCATTCTACAATATAGTTTAATATGGTCCAATAAACATAGATATATTTTGTCTTTTAAGTTTTGATTTTTGCATTATTTTGAGATTATTTTGTAAGTAGACAAGTGTATATTCTTAAGCTATTAATAATGTTTGCAGTGAATTTTGTTAGTAAAATATCATATTTTCAAAAAGTACTTTAAAATATATAAAAATAAGTTATTTGAGTAATTGATTTATATTAGTTAATCAAATAAACTTCTTTCTATAATATAGGATAGGATTATAAATTTGCAAGTTTTTTTAATTTTTTGAGAACAACTCTAATATTTTTTATAAAAAATAGTAGCTAAATAGATTTACTAGTTATATATATTTTGAATCAGTTTATTAAACAATTTTAATTACAATATTAAAACTTATCTCTTAATTATTATTATTATTAAATAGATTTTAAAATTAGTTTTTAATTTATAATTTGTTATTTTTTTCTTATAAATCTTATTTATTATAAATCAATACTTATATAGATTTGCTTATATATAAAATAATTAAAATTTATATAAAAATTCTTATATAATTTAAGCATAAAGTAATTTAATCTTAGTAGATTCATAGTAAAATAATTTAAAAATTAAAATTCAATAATTCAGATTTTACTAATTCAAATTTTGTCTAAATTATTGTTTTTAAAATATTATATATTAAATTTTTATAATTAAAGTTAAAAATTAAAAAATAAATTAATTAAATATTTTAATAAATAAAAATAAAATATAAAAATAATATAATTACCAATTTAATTTGCCAGAGTTCAAAATTTATATTTTTTTATATTGTTTAAAATAATATTAAATAATACTTTTATATATTATATGTTTTTCAAATATTTAAAATTTTATATAAATAATTTTATTATATAATTAATAAAAATATTATTTTACTCTAATTTTAAATTTAACTTTAATACTAATAATAATATTTATTTTAATAATTTGTTTAATAAGCATATAATATATAAAAAGTATTATTTATTTTAGTTTTTTTATATTTTTTTAATTTTATATTTTTTTTATATTTTTTTATTTTTAATTTTTTTTATATTTTTTAATTTTAATTTTTTTTTGTATTTATAATTTTTATTTTTTTTATATTTTTAATTTTAACTTTTTATATTTTTAATTTTTATATTCTATATTTATTTATTTATCTAATAATTTTTAAATAAATAATTGTCGCAGCTGATGCTGAAAACGGCTGATGCTGAAATTCGGATCTATTTTGATATGAATTTTTTAAAATTTTTTCAGGTATTTTTTCCTCGATTTTTTTTTATAGTTAAGTTAGTGTTTAGGGTTAGAATTGATAATTAACAAGTATATGTGGATTTTAGCAGGGCTTAGATTTTTAAATCGAGACCCCAAATTTCAGCTTCAGCTATTTTTAGCATCAGCTGCGACAATAATTAATTAATATTAATAAAATTTTAAATTAGTTATAATATTAAAAATTTTCTTACTGTTAATAAATTTATTTAATATTTTAATCATCATTATATTGATTATCACTATATTGATTATCATTATATTGATTATTATTATATTGTTTATCATTATATTGACTTTCATCATAATAGTCAATATTTAATTCATCTAAATCATCATCATCAAATAAATCTGATTCATTTTCACTATCATAAAAAATATCTTCCCAAAAATCTTTTTCTAAATCAAATTCATCAATATTAAAACAATCCAAATTATTAATATTGTTTTTTTTGCTAAATAATTCTTTTTTAGAATTATAAGAATTATTTAATTTACTATTGCTAAATATATAAATTAATTTAAATATATTTGATGATTTAAGTCGATTTCTTCTTTTTGAGTGTATATAGCTAAAATTAGACTAATTACACTCTGCTGCAGCAGATGATGTAGGTATTATTAAAATTCGTTTTGCAAATTGAACTAGTTCAGGAGCTGAATTTGAAAATTTTTCAGACCACCATGTTAATTGATCAACACTATTAACAGTTTTCCATGCCATAATCTTATTAAATGATCCTGTATGATTTAAATATTCTAATAATTGGCTATAGATTTTAGTACAATTTTCAAGATAATATTTTTTAATAAAATCTGATGTTATTATCATAATATCATTAGATAAAGCTTTCTTTGAAATCTAGAATCAATAAGATATGCTATTTCTATTACAGGATTATATATACAATTCATCTTTTTATAATAATATCATAAATATATATTTTTTTTAATTCAGCAATCCTGCCCTTGTTTATTTGGGATCAAGTTATTCAAAATTACAAGTAATTTATCTCTAACTAAAGTA